TGTTTCTTGCCGCTGCCCTCCCCGGTGTTGGCCGGGGCTCAGCTGACCCCTCGTTCTGTGCGCTGAGTCCCTTGGCGTTCCCCCTCCTGCCTCCGATGTCCCAAACCAGTTCTCAGAAGTAGTCGTGTGTCACTCATTTGGTATTTTCTTTGTTGTCTCTTTCTGTAGCTGATATTAGTGAAGTTGGTGGATTGATCCTTTTCTTTTCTTCTGTGTCCCCTCCCATTGCCCCTCTCTGGGCAGAGTGACAGGAATGGAGAGGAAGGGGCCAACTGACTGTATGTTCTGGAGGCAGATGACGTGAGCATAACTCGGTGACTGGCTGGACGTGGGGTGAGGGTGTTAGCAAAGACCTGGCTTCCTGCTTCCCGGGGTAGGGACTGCAGGGCCCTGCTAGTGCAAGGGTTCCTTTTCTCCTTCGTGCTAAGTTTGAGGTGTCGGTGGGACATGAGCCCACCTTTCTAGAAATCACTTGGGTACATGGGTCTGTAGGAGTTCTGGGTGGCACAAATGGTTAAGTACTGGTCTACTAGCCAGAAGGTTGGCAGTACAAACCCATCCAGTGACACTCTGGAGTTAAGGCCGGTGAAAGGTCACAGCCTTGAAAACTCTGTGGAGTGGCCTTACTCTGCACACATGGGCCACCAAGAGTCATTGTCAATGGCAACTAACAACAACAATGACGTGTCTGAGTGTGAGGACAGGGCCGGGCTGAAGTCGGGAGAGTGGGCGGTCAGAAGAGCAGTCTGCCGAGGACAGACCCTGGAAGCCACAGTGTTTATGGAATAGAGGGATCAGAAAGGGGCAGTCTTGCTGTGGAGGGAGTGGGCTAGAGGAAGAAGCAGGATGGTGAGCAGGGTCAGGTGCCAGAGAGTTCCGGAACCACGAGGCTAAGGAACGATAAGGGCTTGGCCGTGTGCAGTGTGCTGGTGAGCTGGGAGAGAGGTGAGCAGGTGTGGTGGGGGGTAGCCAGGGGGGCGCTGAGAGTGAACGGATGGCGGGAATGACTCACAGAGGGCATACTCGTCCTTGTAAGTGTTTCAGGAACACCCTGGGGTGGCGAGGCAGTTAACTACAGGGCGTGTGGAGTACTGGACGGAGTTTGGGTGTATTTATCGGATGAGAGGCACCAGCAGATACAGGGTCACTCTCTTCTGAGCTCCGGGGGCTCCTGCCTGCTGTTCTCAGTCAATTGCCTCTGGGCCTGTGCTGATTCAGGGAATTCGCTGCTCTCATCGTCCACTGGGGTGGGAGCCAGTTCAGGTCACTGGCTGCTTGCTGATGGTTCTTGGCTGAGGCTGCAGGTTTGTGGGGGCCTAGGAAGAGCTAGTCATCACACACCCCAGGCACGGGCCTTTTCCGGTCCCTTTGGGAACAGCGTCTCCACGGCAGGGGCCTGTCCAGTCCCAGGCTGTGGCCGCATGGGTCTGTAAGATCAGAGGAGAGAAGGTGGCCAGTCAGGCTTCCAGGTCACAGGGAGACTCGCCAACGTGAGGTGCTTCTTCTCTGGATGGGTGTTTTATCCTATCCTGACGGTGCTAGAATACAGGTAACAGATCTATTCGGAAAATCTACCAAAATAGCTTGCCAGTCCCGGTTCTCCTTTCTTATAAAGTGTCTCGGCATGGACACCAGGCTCTCCCGTGACCGGCTGTGGTTGGCAGTCTCAGGGTTCCCCTTCTTAGTCACACTTCCTGTCCCAGCCCAGATAAGCCCTGTTGCTGCTGGACCCATTCCCTGGGCTGGGCTTCCGAGGACCCCATACTCGTTCTCAGAGACCCAGGAGGGGCTGTGGTGGGCCTGAAGCTGGAGCTGGCAGACCAGCCATTGCTCGGGAGGGAGCCTGCCTCGTCTGTTTGGTCTCCGCCCCCAAACTGCTCACTCAAAAACCAGTGGCTGTTGGGTTGCTCTTGCAGCCCCATGCGTGTCACAGCAGAAGTGTGCTCCAGCGGGTTTTAAAGGCTGGTTTCCAGAAGGAGACAGCCAGGCCTTTCTTCCGAGGTGCCTGTGGGTGTTGGGGCCTCCAGGCTATCCGTCAGCAGCTGAGAGTGTTAACTATCTGCACCATCCAGAGATTCCTAGCTACTCATGAGACTGCTTCTCAGAACCACCCAGGATAGCCAGGAGCCACATGGCCGTGTGTGTGTGTGTGTCTATGTGTGTGTCTGTGAGTGTGTATGTGCCAGGAGAGGGAAAGCCAAAAGTAACCCATCTCCAAAGCTCTCTGTGGAGTTTGCTGATTTTTACAAAAATTAAAAAAAAAAAAATCAATTAGTTACAGATTTATTTATTATTCACTTGTCAAATACACACTTGATCATCTTGAGGGAAAATACTTCAAAGGCATCTGTACATTTTAAACTAAAAACCAAACTCACTGCTGTCAAGTTGGTCCCGATTCATAGTGACCCCTCTTTGGATTTCCAAGGCGGTATCACTGTGGAAGTAGATTGGCTGATCTACCAAGGATCAAGGAAGGAGTGGCTGGTGGGTTTGAACCGCCAGCCTTCTGATTAGCAGTCAAATCCCTTAGGCCCTAGACCACCAGAGCTCCTTCTGTACATCATAAAAGTCCTTATTGTATGTGCAGCACTGGAGATCCATTTTATTTATTCCTTTTTATATATTCTAAAGGAGCGCTGGTGGTGCAGTGCCTAAGGCATTTGCTTGCTAACCAGAAGGTCAGCAGTTCGAACCCACCAGTGGCTCCATGGAAGAATGATAAGGCAGTCTGCTTCAGTAGAGGTTTGCAGCCTTGGAAACCCTGTGGGGGCTCTGTGAGTTGGAATCAACTTAAATGGCAGTGGGTTTGGTTAGAAGACATTCAAATGAAGACAAATTGGTAGATAAACAGTTTCAGTTGTTGAGGTCTTTTATTTTTTGTCCTAAAACAGTCCAAAATGATTAATGTTGACTTGGTCATTGTTGATTTTACCTGCTGAAATTCTGCTTTCATGAAGTCACTTTAAAACAGGAAGTGGTTTCCAAAAAAAGTCCCTTCCAGACAGGATGTGGGTGGAGGAGGGAAGAGGCCCTTGGTGTCTTGGAGTGGTAGGTCTTTGAGAGCAAGGAGTTCCAAAGTGCTGCCCCACCTGGGTCTCACTGATGGCCCAGGCTTGTCCTGGAATACCCATACTAAGATGCTCCTAGGTCTTTGAGTCTGGCATCAATCAACTGTTCACACTGATCATCAATAAACAACATCCCCATGGTCTGGGGCATTGATCCCCACCTGGACGTCTCCCTGCAGGTGCTAGTGAGGCTTGCTCTCTGGGGGAACAGGAGACATTCAGGGTTGGGATCATGGGGACTTTTGACAGTGAGTCTCCAGAATGAAAAAATTAAAAGACTGCTTCTCCCCAGGTTTCAAGCACCAGGCATTGAAGCCTTCTGGCAGTTTTCATGGGGTGAGAGTCGGAGCCTGGGAATTTCAAGACCTGCTCTGGGGCCTGTGTGGAGACCCAGCTGGGCTTCCTGAGCCCCCCGCCCCACCATAGGTCACTCTGTGCACTGCAGAGACACGTGTCAGCTGAGTGAGGTAGTACTTGAGGCTTAGAGGAGCAGCCCGCCTCTGCTGCCGGCAAGGCAAGTGCACAGGAAATGTTCCTTTTCTAAAAGAAGACAGACGTTGGGGGAGGTCCTGCAGGAGCAGGCGCGGTGTCTGCAGTGCCAGTGATGGGCAAGGAGCACGTTTCACACGGAGCGGTCACGCCTTCCATCCGCCAGGGTGGCTGCACTGGCCACAAGTGGCTTGTAGGGAAACCGGAAGAGTGCAGACAGTCTTTCAGTCTTCTCAGCTCTGCTTACAAGACTTCCAAGGTGGCTGGGACCTACCTGGGACTCTGGTTTCCCAGCAGGCCTGCACTTTGGGGCTGCAGGGTGGGCAGTGGGTGTCTTATATTAGTGCCTGGTTGTTGCGTTGTTGCTGTTGTGTCCAGTTGACTCGGGCTCGTGGCGACCCTATGCATAACAGAATGAAGCATTGCCTGGTGGTGTGCCGCCTTTGAAGCCCACTGCTTTGGCCACTGTTTCAGTCTGTCCCACTGAGGCCCTTCCTCACCTTCCCTGACCCTGCACTTTACCAACCACGATGTCCTTTGCTAGCAGTGGGTCTCTCCTGATGACATGCCCACAGTGAGTGACAACCTTGTTTCTAAGGTGTGTTCTGGTTGTATTCTTTTAAGACTGATTTGTTTGCTCTTCTGGCGTCCATGGTTGGTTCCACACCCTTCGCCAACACCACAGCTTGAATGCATCAATTCTTCTTTGGTCTTCATTATTCATTGTCCAGCTTTCACATGCACAGGAGGTGATTGCAAAGACCATGGTTCAGGTCAGGTGTGCCATTGTCCTTAACGTGACATCTTTGCTTTTAACACTTTAAAGGGATCTTTGGCAGCAGATTTGCCCAGAATAATACATTGTTGGATTTCTTGAGTGCTGCTTCTCTGGGTGTTCATTTTGGATCCAAGTAGAATGAAATCACAGCAACTTGTCAGAGTAGTCACTGAAGTTGTCTGTGTCCTATCACCTGAGAAAAACAAAACAAACCTGCTTGGGAAGGCTGTGCATTACCTATAAATGGAACCATACAATAGGCGGTGCTTTGTGACTGGCTCCTTTCAATCAGCATAAGGGTTTTAGTCCATGTTGTAGCATGCATTAGCACTTCATTCCTATGTATGGTTGCGTGATGGTCCCATGAGCCCTGTATTCAGAGCGTTCACAGCATGGCCCTGAGTGCTCGCTCTGGGCAATGCTTTCTGTTGTGGCGATTTGGTTGCTGGAGGTGTGGCTGGCTACAGGTGCATGAAGGGAAGGGAGCTGGAGGCTAGGCTGACCCAGAGCCCTCCCAGGTAGATCTGAGCTGGGAAGCAGCAGCAGCGCCCCAGGGGCTGCAGGGCTGGCCTGCTCTCTTGCCCTAGCAGCCCCTCCTGGCCCCACCTGGCTGGGAAGACTGTGCTCACAGATAACACATGGGTTCCCTGTGTCCCCTCTAGATGCAGGAAAAGGCCAAGGAGATCTACATGACCTTCCTGTCCAGTAAGGCCTCATCCCAAGTCAACGTGGAGGGCCAGTCCCGGCTCAATGAGAAGATTCTGGAAGAGCCACACCCTCTGATGTTCCAGAAACTCCAGGACCAGGTAACCTGGCTTCCCTGCCTGTACCTTGATTTGAAAACCTACATTTATTCCAGGCCTTGAAGAAGTCAGTGGAACACCACATGTTAGACCTAGAAACCAGCTGTACCAGCTCGGCCTGGGAGAGCTGGGGCACGGAAGGGCCGGGGTTTGTGGAAGGGTGGGGATCTGGATTTGACGATGGAGTTTGCCTCCAGCCCGCTTCCTTTTGGTCTACACACGATTTGAACCAGCTGAGTTACCTGCCTCCTCAGCCTAGATTAGGAGGAGGCTGGGGCTATTTGAGGAGCCCTGATGACACAGTGGTTAAGCACCTGGCTGCTACGTGAAAGGTCAGCAATTCAAACTGACCAGCCGCTCCATGGGAGAAAGATGAGGCAGTCTGCTTCTGCAAAGATTACTGCCTTGGAAACACTATGGGGCAGTTCTACTCGGTCCTGTGTGATCGCTGTGTGTCGGAATTGGCTGCAGAGGTTTGTGTTTTGGGGGGTTTTTTGAGAGTCCCTGGGTGGCCCAGGGGGTTGAACCCTCAGCTGCTAACCAACAGGCTGGAGGTTTGAGTCTACACACAGCTTCCCCAGAGGAAAGACCTGGCAGTCTGTTTCCAAAAAGCCAGCCACTGAAAGCCCTGTGGAGCACAGTTCTGCTCTGTCACACAGGTCACCATGAGCTGGGATTGGCTCGATGGCAACTGGTGGTGGTGAGGGAGCTGTTTGAGGGACCCCCACTGGAAACATCACATGACAACAGAACACAGTCCAGAGAGCAAGCACAAGAACTCAAAGTGGCTCTTTTTGTGCAAATACCTATACACCTCCACCCACTTCAGCAGCCCTGGTGGTACAGTGGTTAAAGCATTTGGCTGCTAACGGAAAGGTCAGCAGTTTGAACCCACCCACTGCTCCGCAGGAGAAAGGTGAGACACTCTGCTTCCGTAAAGATTAGGGCAGTTCTACCATGCTGTGTAGGGTCACTATGAGCTGGAATCAACTCCATAGCAGTGAGTTTGGCTTGCTTTTTGGTTTCCACTTACTTCCAGTGGCCTGGTACTGTCAGCTAGCTCAGACTATTGCCCCTGACCCATGGGGAAGAGGTTAGCCTTCAGCAGCATATTCTACTTAGGAAAGCAGGAAAAAATTAGCCTATCAATATGGACCCATTGGGGTAAACTTTAGTTTTCCAGAAATTTTTCTCATGAGAGTGCTGGTGGTGACAGTCAAAGGGGATGAAACTATACTCAGGAGGTTTTGGGATATGAATTTCCAGATGTGACCATGCGTATCATGTTCTTAGAAAAACCAAATGTTGCCGATGAGTCAGTTCTGACTCATAGTGATCGTATAGGACAGAGTGGAATAGTCCCATAGGGTTTCCAAGACTGGAATCTTTCCAAGACTGGAAGTACAAAGTCCACAAGTACTTTGTCACATCTTTCTCACATGGAGCGGCTAGTGGGTTTGAACTGCTGACCTTCAGTTAGCAGCTGAGCACTTAACCATCGTGCCACCAGGGCTTCTTGCTCTGTTCTTCAAAAAACCAAACTCACTGCTATTGAGTTGATTCCAACTCATAGCAACCCCACAGGGCTTCCAAAGCTTTATGTCTTTACAGAAGCAGACTGCCTCATCTTTCTTCTGCAGAGCAGCTGGTAGGTTTAAACTGCCAGCCTTTCAGTGAGCAGCCAAATGCCTTACTCACTGTTCATAGGGAGTGATATATACAAACTGGTAGACAAACAGAACACAGACAGAATTCAAACATCTGCTGGCCATGACCTCTACCTGGCACTGACGTGGACACTAGCATGTAGCTTCATCTCACAGACTTGAGCAGCCCCAGAATCTCCTGGAAGCCTTATTAGGGTTAAACAGATGGGCTGGCCCTATACCCAGGGTTAGCCACCAAGCCCAGGTGGGCTGAGACCTCGCATTCCTACCAAGTTCTCACGGTGCTGACTCTGCAGGCCCCGAGACTGTGCTTTGAGAACTGCTGGCTTCCTGCCTTGGTTGGCCTTTTTGATCACCTGGTGGGTACACAGACATGTCCTCATCCAGGAGGCCCCCTCTTTGGTCAGCATCAGATAGCAAACAAATATACCGGGAGAAAATAACAGAGAGAAGGAGCAATCTGAAGACGTTTGCCAATTGATGCAGCAGCAAGTGCCAATTCTGCGTGAGCTCTGCATCACACAGGAGGGTGGAGGGTGTTGGGTTAGCCTGGAAGGCTGTTCCAGGGCCTCCTGGGGGGTGGGGATTCTGGGTCGATGGGAAGGATGCCATGGGCACGAGTTTGTGAGGGAACAGGAAGTGGGCTGCATGGGGAGAAGGCTGTCCTTATGCCTGTAGCCACATGGGTAACCCAAACCCCATAAGGAGGTGGCTTAAAGAACAGAAGTGTATGTTCATGGTTCTGGAGGCTGCAAGTCCAGTCAGGGTCTGAGCCGTGTTGACTCCTCCCTGGGTCACCATGGCATTCCTTGGTTCCTTGGCTCATAGATGGTCCTCACGTGGCAGCTGTCCCCTCCCTTGTGTGATCTGTTCTGCTCTTTTTCTGACTCAGAAACAATCAGGTTTAGGGTCCACCCTATGTTGTGTCAGCCTCATTCACATTTAAAAAAAAAAAACAACCCACTGCCATCAAGTTGATTCCAACTCACAGTGACCCCTGGTGGGTTTCCGAGGCAGTAAATCTTTATAGAAGTAGATTGCCCAGTCTTCCTTCTGCAGAGTGGCTGGTTGGTTTGAACCACCAACATTCTGGTTAGCAGTCAGATGCCTTAGGCACTGTGCTACCAGAGCTTCTCATTAACATAGCAAAAGAAAACCCATTTCTAAGCAGGATCACCTCCACAGGCCAGGGGTCAGGAATCAACACATATTTTATTTTTTGAGGGAGAGTAACACAGCTCGATCCCTGACACACGGCATTTGCCATGCTTGCTGCCTCCATAGCAAGTCCCTGTGAAGGAGCTCTGGTTCTGTGTTGCTTCTGCCAGGGGTTTGAACTGGTTCTTTGCAGCTCAGTGCTCTGCTGAGAATTTTAATTTCCACCCCAGGTAAACTGAATCAGAATCCACCCTTTAACAAGATGGTCTTAGAAATGAAAGTTCTCAGCAGGGCTTTGAACCAGAAGGTGCCAGGTTCGAAGCTCTGGCTTCTGAAACTCTGCCGCTGAGGTCCCTGCTGCCCACTGTCACGGTGTGTGAGCTGCACAGTGTGGGGCTCCCTCTGCTCCCAAACAGCCCCAACAGCCCTGTTTTCCTGACTGAAGGACAGTGAAGCTGGGGAGCATGTTTGGAGCCACCGGATTTCACAGAACTTGCGGGGGTGGGTGGTGGAAAGCAAGCTTCTCTCGTGGCTTTGGCTTGGCCGGAGGCTGACTGGCTTTATCAAGTCTCTGGCTGAGCAGGCCACCTTCCGGGCTTCCAGCACCCACTCCCCAGGAAAACCTCAGGCAGCCTCAGCATTTCCTCACAGCAGGGCAGTGCCCGCTGCCCTGTGGGTAGCTGATAGGGCAGTATCGACCCTGTGGAGCACAGCCCGGAACTTTGAAGGACCCGGAAAACCCTCTCTGAACATCCCATTAGATGACCCCACATCCACTGCTCTGAACTGAATTGTGATAGCGCACCCCACCCCCAGAGTATGTGTTGGAACCCTTCCTCTGTACCCCTGGATGTAATCATTTTGGGGACTAGGGTTTTCTTTATTAATGAGACCGTGTGAGTGTGGGGTGTGTCTGTACCTGATCACTTCCGAGTTACACAAAGAGCAGATTAAACAGGAGCAGACACAGAGGGAGGCAGACACCACATGAGGACCATGAGGGAACCGAGGATACAGACGCTGGGACAAGGACCTGCCCCAGAGCCGGCAGAGAGCCTTCCCTCCGCCGGCGCCCTGCATTCAGACGCCTGGCTTCCAGAGCTGGGAACAAACCAATCTCTGCTCTTTATAAGCCACCCACTGGGGTGCTTCTGTCACAGCAGTGCCAGGCCACGGTGGCATCCGTGTGTTCATTTGAAGACAGACGTATTGGATCTTCATTCAGGTACTGTTTATTCTCAGCTTACACCAAGGCTTCAGACCCATTCATTCCAGTCCAGCTCCCTGCTGAGAACTTGCCTTTTCATCCCAGATAGACTGACTCAGAATCCACATTTTCACAGGATTCCCCAGGCCATTCTTGGATACAGCTTACTAAAATGTAGATTCTAATTCGGTCTATTTGGGGTAGGAAAAAAAAAAAAAAGAGAGAGAGAGGCTCAGCAGGGGTCCAGCCAGAATGAACTGGTCTGAATCCCTGGTTTACAGACAGTTCTAACAAGTCCTGGTTTTTCACAGCAGATCAGCTGGGGTTGAGTAAAGAGCTGTTCAGGGATGTAGAGTGACGGGTGGCAAGTTGTGATAACTAAGAGGCCGGGAGGACACGGAGCAATGATACTAAACCACAGCGTAGTCACGGGAGGCACTGAGCATGGGCCCCGTGCACCACACTGCCAATGTCCCTGTGCCACAGAAAGATGCCACAATTCGCGGTCCTAGTGACCTCAAATCACCCAGCAGAAGTTAACCACGGTGCACATATTATGTGAAGACCGGGTTATATATTCTAGTTTTTCATCAGCACTTGTAAGAGGTTAGGGGGTGCACTTGACTGCCTGGAAGGTTCTTGGATTTATTCAGTGCTGTTAATACAGCACTGGAGCGTGCTGGTGAGGTCAGGGGTGCTGGGGGAGCCCGGTGGAGAGCCTTGGGTACTTTAGCCTGGACTCAGATGCTGCTGCTGGGCATTTAAGGTGTGGGGAGCAGGAAGGAAAGAGGCCCCCTGACAAAGTGGTGGTTTCTTGGAGGAATTATAATTCCTTGAATTTTCTTTTTTTAATAGTAAATTTACATTGATTGAGAATTTATTCTGTGCTAGATAATACCAGGCTAAGTGGTATTTTTGGAACATATTAACCTGATTTTAAGGTCCCAATGGAGTGCATTTTTTTTTTTTTT